TACCTGACATAGATACACTCCTTGGAGAGAACAATCCTAAGAGAAAGAAGACAGCTCAGGGGGCAGGAGTGCATGGAGGGATGGACACAGGGAAGAGGTAACTATCGGGAAAAAGTGGGAGGGGAGCTGTTGCATTTGGGTAAACTGTAGTCAATGTCATAAGACAAGGTATTATGTGAACTGCTGTATGGAAAGTGAATTTGCTCTGTACACTTTCACTTAAATCACAATTAAAAAAAAAAAAAGAAGTATGTTCAATTTTGTTCAACCCAGTGTTTCCTAAAACGAATTTCTATTAACTCTTTTAGCCTTTATCAGTATTTCTAAGAATATCCTTCTGAAAATCAATTAACTATTGTAAAACACTGTTTAATTACAACATGAGTATTACAAAATGGACTTAAATAATTACTTTTTAGGTTGTGGTTTTGTATTATAAGTGTCACTTGGATTTTACAGAAATTATTTGTCCAGCAAATCTATGTATTAATAAGCATTTTGTTTCATGAATTCTCAGCTTAAGATAACCAAACAGCAGTATAAAATGCATTACAAACAAAGTAACTTCTTGTATGTAGTAAGAAATTTAATATTCTACCATTTGATACTCTTTCTCTTCTTCAGTCATCTCTGGTTCACTTTGGTCTTCTTGAGGAACTGGAGATGGACTTCTGGTGACTTTTCCACTACTTACAGCCTCAACATTTTCCGTGTCTTCATCTTCCTCATCACTATCCTATTAAAAGTAATAGCATGGTTCACCCAAATTCATGCTTATAATGTAAAATCATTATCATACAAATCAAATATTATAAAACCATAATTAAAAATAGCTGATGAAATAGAAATGTAAGTATAAAATTGCTCTCTATATTATATTTTTGTATTATAGATTTCATTTGGAAATTTTAAAATTGTTATCTGGGAAGAAATGTAAGATTATAATTGCTTATGAAAGTCAATTATTTAATCATTTTTCTTAGCCAATTTTAAATTATTTTGTAAACGAGCAGAATAGTATCATTTTCAGGCAGCAATTTTAATTTATCCATTTTATATGAAAATACCAAATCATCATATACTCCCGAAATAAGTAGTTTATAGAACTTCAAATAAATGAACCAGAGATATACTATTCAACTTAATGTTTACAGCTACTTATTTAAGTCATTCACCTAAAACTGTATGACAAAATAAAAAATCTCTAGCCAGTTTTTAGCTGGCCCTGGAACTTAGTGAAACTTGCTTCTTTTTAGCTACACAGCGGAAAGATAGGTAACAACTAAGGTCTACTTCAGATTAAGGGAATGCTAGAAGTTTGTCTCTGACTTTGAATAGCTTTAAATTTTCAGTATCCAGACAGCATACCCTATATAGGGGGCTCTTCTTTACCCAAAGAAGGGTCCTACAGTCACACTTAACAAGCTTACTAAAAACTGATCACCTAAATATTACTATGAAAAGACTATATGAACTAGAGAATAATACATTTAACACAATCCAAAGGCACTTTGGGAAGAGAGAGGAGGTTAACTTCCAAACAATATTTTTGACATTAAAAAAATGAATTTGGAAATCCACTATTTAAAGAAAAAAAAAAGGTAAACTTTAACAGTGTTAGTCTATTGTTCTCATTTTAATAACATACAGAATGAAGACACAACTTTGGCATGCGTGTATTGAGCAAAATAAAAAGTAATGTATGAGCCTTACAGAATTTAAACAAAATCAACATCTGTTTAAATTCAGTTGCCTTAGTCTCCTTGAGACTTACTTCTAAAAAGTAGTAAAGTAGAGATAGCTTGGGAAGAAAACTCATTTCCTAAGTTGCACATAGGCCAATGCTGTCATTGTCACACCATCTAGGAGTACATTATCTCTGAGTAAAAAAATTCCTTAACCACCCTGAATACCTAAAGCAACTTTGAAAAAGATAAAGAAAGTGAACAGACTCACATTTCTAGATCTCAAAACATATAATAAAGCTACAGTAATCAAAACAGTTTGTACTGTATAATGAAAGACATATAGACTAATGGAATAGATTAAGAACCCATAAATAAACTTGTACATCTACTGTCAACTAATTTTTAATAAGGGTGCTAAGTCCATCCACGGGGATAGAACAGTCTCTTCAATCAATGTTACAAGGACAACTGGATTTCCATAAACAAAAGAAAGAACCTAGATCTGTACTTCATACCACATACGAAAACTAACTCAAAATGAGCCAAACACCTAACTATAGAACCGAAACCATAAAACATTTAGAAAAAAACATAAGGGTAATGCTTCAGGACCTCGTTTTTGACAATGGATTCCTAGATATAGCACCAAAAGCATAAGCACCAAAAGACACAATAAATAAATAGGACTTCATCAAAATTAAGAACTTCTGTTCATCAAAAGACTTTATCAAGAACATAAAGAGACAACCTACAGATTGAGAGAAAATTTTTAGAAACCATTTATCTGATAAGGGTTTAATATCCAGAATATATAAAGAACTCTTAACAACTTAACAGCAAAAAGACAAACAACCCAATCCAAAAATGGGAAAGACCTTGAATAGACATTTTACCAAATAGGTTACAAATGGCCAACAAGCACATGAAAATATGCTTAACGTCATTAGCCACTGTTAGGTGCTGTTAAGTCAGTTCCCACTCAAAGCAACCCTATGCACAATAGTATGAAACACTGCCCAGTCCTGGGCATGGTCCTTACAATGGTTGCTATGTTTGAGCTCACTGTTGCAGCCATTGTGTCAATCCATCCTGTTGAGGGTCTTTCCCTTATTCACTGACCCTCTACCAAGCATATCCTTTTCCAAGAACTGGTCCCTTCTGAGAACATGACCAAAGTAGGAAAGATGGAGCCTGCCCATTCTTGCTTCTAAGGAGCATTCTGCTGTACTTCCTCCAAGACAGATTTGTTCATTCTTCTGGCAGTCCATGTTACATTCAACATTCTTTGCCAACACCACCATTCAAAGGCATTAACTCTTCTTCAGTCTTCCTCATGCACTATCCAGCTTTTACATACATATGAGATGACTGAAAATACCAAGGCTTGGATCAGGCGCACCTTAGTCTTCAAAGTGATCTCTTTGCTCTTTAACACATTAAAGGGGTCTTTTGTAGCAGATTTGCCCAGCATGATCAATAACAAAAACAATACAATCACTGCTGTGAAGTGAGATCCGACTCACAGCGACCCCGCCTTGGGTTTCCAAGGCAGTATCACTACGGAAGTAAATTGCCCAACCTTCCTTCCCAGGGTGGCTGGTGGGTTTGAACTGCCAGCCTTCTGGTTAGCAGTCAAATGCCTCAGGCACTACGCCACCAGAGCTCCCATTCCTACTATCAGAGAACGTATACTATATCAAAACAATTAGCTACATAGATTATTATAATACAGTACAATATCTACCATGTAAAATATTTACACAAGGTTCCAAGAGCAATATGTTATTTGATTTCTTAGCTGCTGTTTCTATGGATGTTGACTGTGGATCCAAGTAAAATGAAATCCTTGACAACTTCAATCTTTTCTCCCTTTATGTTGATGTTGCTTATTGGTCCAATTGTAAGGATTTTTGTTTCCTTGATGTTGAGGGATAATCCATACTGAAGCCTATGTTTCCTTTGAAGTAAGTGCTTCAAGTAATATATTCCAGAGCTTCTTGGATTATTTGCTCAGAGCACACAGATTGACTAAGTGTGATGAAAGGATACAACCCTGACGCGTACCTGATTTTAAACCACGTCGTATACCCTTTTCCTGTTTGCCTCTTGGTGTATGTATGTAGAGGTTCCACAGGAACTATTAAGTGGTCTGGATTTCTCATTCTTTATAATACTACCCATAATTTGTTATGATCCACACAGTCAAATGTCTGCATAGTCACTAAAACACAGGTAAACAACTTTCTGGTATTCTGTGCTTCAACCAAGATCCATCTGACATCTGTAATGATATACCTCATTCCACACCCTCTTCTGAATTGACCTGGATTTCTGGAAGTTCCTGCCAAGGTACTGCTGCTACAACTGGTTTTGAATTATCTTCAGCAAAATTTTACTTGCGTATCATACTTATGATATTTGTCAATAATTTTCCACATTCTGTTGGATCACTTTTCTCTCAAATGGGCACAAATACGGATCTCTTCTAGTTGGCTGGCCAATTTGGTCTTCCAAATTTCTTGGCATAAATTTATGAATGGGTGCCTCCGGTGCCCCATCCGTTTGTTGAAACATCAAGTGGTATTCCACCATTCCTGAACCCTTGTTTTTCTCCAGTTCCTTTAGTATAACCTGGACTTCTTCCTTTAGTACCATCAGTTCTTGATCATATGCTACCTCCTGAAATGTTCGAATGTTGACCAATTCTTTCTGGTAGTGACTCTAGGTATTCCTTCCATTTTCTTTTGATGCTTCCTGTGTTCTTCAATTTTCTGCCCATTGTTGTTATTGTTGTTAGGTGCCGTCAAGTCATCTCCAACTCATAGTGACCCTATGCACAGCAGAACAAAACAATGCCCTGTTCTGTGCCAGCCTCATGATCCTTGCCATACCTGAGCCCATCGTTGCACCCACTGTGTTAATTCATCTTGTTGAGGGCCTTCTCCCAAACTTGAAGGTTGAATTTTTCTTCAGTTCTTTCATCTTCAGAAAGGCTGAGCATATTTTCTCTTTTGACTTCTCAACTCCAGGTTTATGCACATTCCATTATAATACTTGACTTTGTCCTCTTGAGCTGCCCTTTGAAATCTTCTGTTTGGTCTTTTACTTTGTTTCTTCCATTCACTTTAGCTACTCTCTATCCAAGAGCAAGTTTCAGAGTGTCATCTGATATCCATTTTGGTCTCTTCTCCCTTTCCTGTCATTTTAATGAACTTCTGCTTTCTTCATGTATGATCTTTTTGATATCATGTCACAACGTGTCTATAGGCATGTGGATACTATCCTATCACTGACAGCAATGTACTTCAGGATAGACTGTTGAAATGTTTTTTAACAATGAATGCAATCTCATTGCTTTTTGTCATTCCCTGCATAACAGACCATGTATGATTGTCCCACTCAAAATATCCAATACCAGTCCATTTCAGCTCACTAATGTGTAGAAGAACAATCTTTGTATGTTCTATTTCATTTTTTTTACAAATTCCTATTTTCATAGATTCATAGTACACTCCACATTCAGAGTATTAATGATTTCTGCAGCTATTTCTTCTCATTTTGAGTCATGCAACATCAGCAACTGAAGGTCCAGAAAGCTTTACTCCATACATATTATTAAGGTTGATTCTACTTTCAGGAGGCAGGTCTTCCCCACCATATTCTGAGTGTCTTCCAACTTGAGGGGCTTAGCTTCTAGCATTGTATCAGACAATGTTTCCCTGCTATTCATAAGGTTTTCAGTGGCCAATTCTTTTTTTTCCAGAAGTTAACCTGGCCATTTTCTTACTCCTAGTGTGTCATAGGGAGCTCTGGTAGCATAGTGGCTAAGGTACTTGACTGCTAACCAGAAGGCTGGTGGTTCAAACCCACCAGCCACTCCTCGGAAGGAAGATGGGGCAATCTACTTCCGGAGTGATACTGCCTCAGAAATCCAAGGAGGGGTCGCTGTGAGTCGGGTCCGACTCGACAGCATGTAACAACAACAAGTGTGTCATAGTATGCAAGCACCACTGAAACTTATTAAATATGGGTGATCCTGCTAGTATTTTAAAGTAGCTTCCAGTATTACAGCAGCATCCAAGCCACCACAGTACAACATATTAATAGACATGTGGTAGCATTAGTGATTAGGGAAATGTAAACCAAAACCACAATGACATATCACTTCATACCCACTATGATAGCAATGGTAATAAAAAATGGAAAACAGATGTTGGTGAGGTGTAGAAAAACTGGAACCCTCATCCATTGCTGATGGAGCCGCAATATAGTATAGCTAGCTGCTATGGAAAACAGTTTGATGGCGCCTCCAAAAGTTAAACACAGAATTACCACATGATGAAGCAATTACGCTTCTAGCTATTTCCCAAAAGAACTAAAAGCAGGAATGCAACAATACTGGCACACCAAAAGTCACTGCAGCACTACTCACAATAGCCAAAAGATGGGAACAGTCTAAATGTCCATCAACAGATGAATGGTTAAGCAAAATGTGGTACATACATACAATAAAACATTATTTAGCCATAAAGAAAAATGAAGGCCTGATGTATGTCAGAACATAGATGAATTACGAAAAATCATGCTGAGTGACATAAGTCAGTTATGAAAGGACAAATACCATTATAATTTTACTTTTGTATGAAATAAGCAAATATATAGAAATCAAAGATTAGTGGTTATCAAGAGTAGAAAACCCATTGCCATCAAGTTGATTCCAACTCATGGTGACCCCCATTGGGTCTTCCAAGGCTGTAAATCTTTACAGAAGTGTGTTGTTTCATCTTCCTCCTGCGGAGCAGCTAGTGGACTTGAACTGATGAACTTCTGGTTAGTAGCCAAAGTCTTACCCACTATACCACCAAAGCTCCTTTCCGGAGTGGAAAGGACAGGGAAAAGTAGAGTTTTTGCTTAGGGGCATTTGCTTAGGCATTCAGTTCATGTTAATGGTGGTGGAAAGACTGGGAAAAGCATAGTGAGAATGACTGCAAAACTTGAAGACTATAATTAATGTCACTGAATTGTACATTCAGAAATTATTGAATTGGTGTTATGCTTTGTTATGTACATTTTCACAATAAAAAATATTGCATATGACAAGTGTGATTATACTTTTTATAAAGTGGAATGGGGAAAAAGCTTTATTTCTAACTTAACATATTTTATATGATATGCAATTACACATATATGAGGTTAAACCAAATAAATTTTAGAAATTTAAAAAAACTTAAGACTTTTGTTACTTTCAGTGCTCGTGTGAAAACAATTAATGTTATAACATGCTCCAGAATAAGTATATACTTAAATGTTTATGAAAGGATGATTTATTTCTTAACTACCATTTTGAGTTAATTTTGTCTTATAAATTACCTGTAGGGGGTTAGCTGTACCACAGCCAAAGAATACAGATTTGTTTTTCAAGATAGAACCTATCCAACTTCCCACTAAATAATTCCTTTCTGGAGTGAAATGTTTTATAAACTAGCTGCCCCTTTCCTCCTTACTCTACTCTCAAGAACACATATATAAAAACATAATCCCCAATATACTACTGAAAGTAATCTTAGGAACATTACTCTAATACTTTTCCTCAGGCTTAAGGACTTACTAGGAACTCTGGTAGCATAGTGCCTAAGGCACTTGACTGTTAACCAGAAGGCTGGAGGTTCAAACCTACCAGCCACTCCTTGGAAGGAAGGTTGGGCAATCCTCCTTCTGTAGTGATACTGTCTTGGAAACCCAAGGAGGAATTGCTATGAGTTGGGGCCGACTCGATGGCACTTAACAACAACAACAACAACAACAAAGGACTTACTTATTTCAATAAACTTTTTATACAAAAAAATTCTCAGGTATACTGGGATGCTACTTACAAATTTACTTCTTTGAGGTAAACGAGGGCCATCTCCTCCTTCAGCATCTTCTGTGGCTTTCTTTTCTTTTTTAGATAATTGTGAACGTTGTTGTTCCATTCTTTCCTTTTCCAACTTCTTCTGCTTTTCACGTTCCATTTTTTCAAGACCTTCACGAATCCAAGCTGGAAGAGTCCTGCGTTTTACTGCATCTGTTTCACACAGGAAAACATTTTTATAAATCAGTTGCATAAAAATCTTAATAAACCTGACTTCATTGTTCTTGAATTTCTAAACAAAACAATTTTTTTCTTTTTCTTTGGTGCCATATGAGTCTTTGCAACAAATATTGTCATTCTCCAGCAAGATAATAATAATAAAAATGATCTATTAAGCATTATATTTTCTTTACTATCTTCAACATTAGAAACAACCAGGGCATAACAAAGTACATTAAATCATCATCTGATTTAATCTTCACAAAAGCCCTAAGAGATGGCTTCAAGTGAGGGAACTGAGGCTGAAAGAGATTAAATGATTTGCCAAGGTTCATAGCCAATATGCAGTCAGGTAGACTACCTCAGAGCTAAATGCTATTTTACACTACTTCCTAAAATGTGAAAACAGAATAGTCAAACAAAAGCCCAAGTTCATTTTTCACAATGAATAAAAATTCATTTGAACAAGCATTTTTCAGCAAGTTTAAAAAGGGGCACGGCACTGCTCCTATATTGCACGATGTTATCAATTTTTCAAAAGTGAAGAAAATATCAAGATGCTATGCTGTTGTTATGTGCCATCCAGTCAGACCAGACTCACAGCAACCTCTTCTTGGATTTCCAAGGTGGTATCACTACAGAAGTAGACTGCCCAACCTTCCTTCTGAGGAGTGGGTTTGAACCGCCAGCCTTCCGGTTAGCAGTCAAGTGCCTCAGGCACTAAGCTACCAGAGCTATAATCATCATAAATTTACGATTCATATCAAAATTGATCTTTACATAAAGATTTTGAAGAAAACTATTAAAAACTTTTTGCATATTAGACCAGTATCATTTTTGTATGTCCAGGTTTTATGACAAAAATGAAAGTGTCTTAAAGTATCAATTCCTAAAATATAAGAGACAGTAGAACAATTTAAGAAATAGAGGAAATCTCTTTACATGATCACAAAATCATGCAACTGTGGTTCACTAAACTTAGTTAAATAGCTACCAATTTGTGGAGGCTCCTGCTTCACAGGAAGTGCAATAGGTGAACGCTGTCGATCCCTGAATGATGATGGCCTTTCTCTTCGATTCTGGGGAGGTGCCGGAGGTCCTGGAGGTCCTGGTTGCCAATAAGGAGGATGAAATCCACCTTGCGGTGGACCAAAAGCAGCCCCATGCTGAAAGAGTATTGCAGTTTATTTTTCTTCACAGTAATACGATATACTCTCTGGGACACACGTGTGTTATGAACTGGGACAGTAGAAATCCATGTGTGCAGCAAATCCAAGAATTCCATGATTCTAATATCCACCGTTATTTCTGTAGCCTCAAGAACCTAGGCTTACTTTTCTTAAGAAAGGTAAAGGTATTCTACCCTTGTAAATGCAAAGAGCTTTCTAAAAGCCATCTACTATACTATTTTCAAGAATTATAGAAAAAGACATATATCTATATACAGATATATCTATATGTATTAGCTTTTTTGTTTTGGTTATACTTATAAATTAATCCTATCACCAAGACATCAAATAAACGCCAATTTATTTTTGCTGAGGCATTTGTTTGTTTATATATTCATTTGGAGAGACTCTGTAGGCTCCGACAGGCCAACTCAACGGCACATAACAACAACAACAACAACAACTGTAGGCTCCGAAGCCAGGTTGGCTGCAATCCTCTGGAAGCTGCTCACTAGGCCTGGATCTTCCACGGTGCTACTGGGTTGGTTCGAACAGGTAACCTTTGGGTTACTAGCTGAATGCAGACCATCTGTACCACCCAGGGACCTTTATATGCCAATTTTTTTTATAACTAGAAAATGTAAGAAATTTTTTTTAATCAATTTCAGTTTCCTTTTAGTAAATTTAAGAAGTTTCTATAATTTTATAAGAAATATCTTTTTATACACAAAGAAGTTTCTGAATTATAACATTAAATTATTATTTTATGTATTTATTTTTGCAACTTTGGTATTTTCTTTGTCTCTTCTAAGGCAGTTGCCAAGAAAACTTTTCCTTGCTAAGTATGAGGATCTACCATGCAAATGTGGTATAAGTAGAAGCTCTCTGCTACTATATTCTTCAGAAACCAAATCAAACAAAAACTGTCATATCTGTATACTAATTATGAGTATACAGCAAGTTAAGCATCTGAATATGTATGAATAAGAGAACTCAAGGTGAATACTGTTTACATTTATGTTCACTTCAACTTTTATCATTCAGTTAATAAAATAATATATGGTGGTTTTTACCCAAAAAATAATAAATTATGTTAACTTAGATTATAAGGTGGCAACTGTAATTATTATTTCAAAATGACCCCTAGCTCTATAATTTAAGGGTAGAGCCTGGCAAAGTATGTAAAGAAAATAAAGCCCCACATAATGACACTATTCCCCATAGAGTTCTATGTCCCTAGGAATGAACTGGACGCTACAAAGAAAATAATGTACAATTTCATTAACATGTCACATAAGAAAAAAAAAAAGGACACTAGAAGAACTATCATAATTCCATGTAATACAAAGAACTGCTCTTTGGAAGATGATCTACGTTCTCTATGTATTTATGCAAACCTTAGCCATAATCTATTATTGATAAATAATGTATTCAACTGTTGCATATATTCTAAACTTTATTTAATATTCAAATGCCACTCTGAAATTAAATATAGAATATAAAATATCTTATAGCTACTGTACTTTCACATTTTTCATTTTATCCAATTTTTCCCCCTAGACACCCTTTATACCACTTTCCCAAGCAAATTAAAACAAATAAATAAAATAAAAATCTAATGATTTTAACACTTAGAAATTGATAAATTTTCTGAGGCATAAAATGTGCTTATCTGTACAAGTTTGAAAAGTGAAACATTATCTTAGGTACTCTTGATGAGACACTTCCAAAGAACGGATTATGTGCACATCTACAATAGTAAAGCAACAAAATATCTTTCACCTGATAGTCAAACTGGTTCACTGGCCCCACTGCAAAATTATCGGGTGGTCCACCAAAGTTGTGATTGTTCTGGTTAAATATATGCCTGTTGTCAGGGGCAAATTCCCCACTGTCCTGACTGTTGCTGTCTTCAGAAGGAGGAACAATGTCCATTGGGCCTGGTGTTGGTGGCATCCATGGTTGATCTGGAGGGGGGTGTGGGGGCTGCTGATGCATTCCCCATTCTATTTAGGATTCAGGTATAAAAACATTCAACATGGGGTTATAATAAAATCAACACAAATTTTTAAGATTTCAAGAAAGCTAGATTTTTCAGTAAAGAAACAAAGAAAAAATTTATGACTTCTTGGGTCAAATTCCTTTTGTATATTATAGAAATAAGCCATGAATTAAATCTTATTAATAATTCAAATAAGCTAACTTCATATACTCTAATTCATACTCTAAACAAATGGAACCAAATGCCCAAAATTACTTTTAATGAATGTAACAAAATCCAAAACAATTTTTTGGTTGAATTTTTCTCTCTTTTTTTTTTTAAATAACAACAGCATAAAAAATAATATCTTGAGATTTTATATAATTTCTTCCATGAACACATTTATCCTCACAACATCCCTGTGAGGTAGGGAGAAAACAGGTATTCTTTTTTGCCAATTTCAAAAGGGAAAATTGAGGCACACGGAAGTCAATCATTTGCCAAGGGTCACAAAGAAAGTCAGCCAAGTAAAATGGGGTCGGAATGCCAGGATGAGTCATGTAAAAGCTTTAGCTTGGAAACCAAAACATTTTCAAACTTGAGGAAATTTGGTATAGCTTCAAGAAAACTAGAAATGAATCTCCAAACATTATCAAAGATTAGAATATTCATTATCCTTTTAAGAATGAAGGTAAGAGGATAACTTCCTGAATTCCATTCTTACAGTGAAAAACAGTAATAATTAAGAATTAATAGGGAGAAGGGGATATGACTTCACTTCAACATACCAAAATGTGGGATTTCTCTATAAATAATTTGAAATGACTATTAAAAATAATTAATAACACAAGCCATGAAAAAATGAACTAGCATCAAGGAATCTAAATCATACTGTGAAGTAAAAAAAAAAAAAAAAAGACAAAAAATAAAACAGAGCAAAAGTTATAGCAGATCTTCACTATTTGAAAAAGAGGAAGAAAAAGGTAGATGGATGGTAGGGGCTGAGTATATTTGACAGGCTAATTTGTCACATAGTGACACAATTTTTCTTTAATTAGAGGCTAGACATGTTTTGCTCTGCCAGTGATGCTTCTGAAAAGGCCAGAGGTTGCAACAGAGAGACATACAATGCTCTCCTCCCTAGATGCCAAGTGAGGTTTCCAGAGTGTTCCCAGCCCCTGTCAGCCTAGGAATGAAGAACCAAGAAAAGAATCAAACTGAGTGCCACAATGCTAGCAGATTGAGTACAGAATAATTTTAATGTCAAGGTCAAATCAAACTGAAATTACCTATTGTTTAAGAGTATTAATTTCAAGAAGTCATAAAATTAAGCAAATTAAACAATTTAATTTCAATCCTCATTTTATTTTAAATACAAAGTTTTAAAATTTGGAAAACAAAAACAAACCTGGTTGCCACATTCTGTTAAAGTTCGAATCCCCTTGAAAATTTCCATGATTGTTTGGACCAGATTCCATCGTAGACATATCTTGTCCATTTGGTATCATTCCTGGTGGTTGTTCTACCATATTTTGTTGTCCTGAAGCTTCTCTTTGGGCAATCCAAGCTTGAGCCAAAGCAGCCCAGTCAATCTGGCCTAATGTGAATAAACAGAAAATTTAACACACTGTAGGAGCTAAAAGCTAAAGGCACCACTACCATATACAGCCTCCACATCAAACAATCATATCAGATATTCCTTATCAGAGATCTGAAATATTATAGCACGTTATGGGGAAGGACATTTAGAAAATAATCCATATTCAGGACAGAAAATACGAACTATTAAGATTTTAATAAAAGGATTCCACAAAAAGGCTTTTAACCTATTTTAATATTAACTCATAAGAAATGTATCCCTTACATCAAAAATCTTAGCTATTCTTTTTCTTCACTTCCACAAAAATAAAAAAATCAAAGGTATTTCTTTCTTCTTTGAACAGGTCTTATTCATCTTTCCAGGTTTACATTCAAGCCTATAGTCCTTGGATGAATGTAGCTATCTAACCCTGCTCATGCCACAGTTGCCCTTCTTTAACTAGGGGTCCCTTCTCTAGCTAATACAGTCTCCTTAACAGTTTCAGTCATTTTTTTCTAATCAAAATTCATTGTCCCCAGTATCTTGTAGGTTCTCCTTTCTTTCCAGCATATATGTATACTTAACATTTTATAATACTATTAATAAAGAAAATATTATTTTTTTCACATTTCATTTTAGTAAAGATTAAATGGGCATTCTCATACACTTGGGTGGAAATATAAACTGGCATAATCCATGTGGAGTTAAACTTGGCAATGTGTATTAAATACTTTTCAGATATGCAACTGTGACTTAGCAAACCAGTTCCTGGATTTCTTCCTCGGGAAATAATTGGACAAAAGAATAATACAAAGTTGTACTAATTGTTTCAAAAAGTAAAAAGCCACAAACATTCAAACATCTAAAAATGAATCTGTTACATTACAGTATATTGTAGTGTGGCAAATTCACTCCATAAACAACTGCCACCTTTGCTATGAGACCAGAAGAATTAGATGGTGTCCAGTTACCATTACTGAACATTATGGTCAAATTCTACAGAAGAATCCTGGTCAAAGACGGGAAAATTCAGAACAGAATTTGAAATGCTCATGAACTCCAGAGTTTCTGGAGCCATAAAGATTAAATGAACCCCTGAAACTACTGCCCTGAGATAATCACTACACCTTAAACCAAAAATATAATTCTTTAGCTTTGTCTGCCTTGAGCATTGTGTCTTTTTAAAAACTAGCTATATGGATCCAATTGACAATAGCAACTCAAAAGATTAGAAATTTAAGGGGCAATGAGTTTATATTAATGGGGGAAGAATAATTTAGAAAAGGAGAGTGAGAATGGTTGCTCAGCCTGAAGAACATAATCAATGTCACTGATTTATACATGTAGAAACGGCTGAACTGGTCTATGTTTTGTTGTTTATTTGTAATAAAATAAAATTTTTAAAAAATTACAGTACATTCGACAACAGCTATTGAAAAAAGATTAGCATCAGATTAATCAACTTAGTAAGAGCAGACCAGGATAAGGGGTGATATAAATGAAACAAGACTGGTCATGATTTAATTGTTAATGCTAAGTATTAAATGAGAGTTCCCTACATTCTTCCTTCTTCCTTTGTATATGATTGAAATATTCCACAAAAAAAAGAAATTTTAAGATGACATAGCATACCATATATTTGAGTATGATGTGCACAGAATTTAAGCCTGAGTCATTCAGAAGATTCAGAATTAGTAACAAAAAGTATGCTCTACATACAAAAGAAGATAAATGAAGCAATATATTTTAGAAAGATTTTCCTTTCTTTAAAAAAAAAAAGAACTAAGTTTTAAAACAGAAAAACCCTTCTCTCCTCTGAAGTAGTCTTCCAAAGGGAAATCCATTCCCTACTATGTATCTTATGACAAGGCTACTTATGAAAACAGATTAAATTCTGACCATAAAATAACCCAATAAAACCAAACCAAACAACAACAACAAAAAAACAATCAGAATAAATCCACTACTATTGAGTCAATTCCGACTCATAGTGATCCTACAGGACAGGGAAAAACTGCCCCATAGGGTTTCCAAGGCTGTAAATCATTATGGAAGCAGACTGCCACATCTTTCTTCCATATAAACCAACCCCAATTCCAGTTTCCCTAATCCCATCACCTTTCCTTCCCCAGTACCTCCCCGCCACCAAATTTAATTTGTTTTCTTACTTGGATCCTGTTGATGCTGGAATGACTGCATCCACTGTTGTTGGTTCAAGGGCCACTGTTGCCAAGGTTGTCCTCCTTGATCCCACATCCTGACTCTTTAAATATACTCTATTTTCTATCTTCAACAAATTAAATATAGTTTAAAAATTAGAGGGAGAGTTCTTTAATTTTAAAACTTCATGCATCAGAAATTATCACAGGATGAAACATTTATGTGATCAGAGCTCCAAAATTCTGGTCAACAGGATGCCCAAGGCAACTGGAATTATTAGGATGGCAAGCAAGAGCAGAAATTTTCATGTTAATCCTGGCCCCAGTCTGGTTGCAAGCAAAGCTCTAATCAACTTCACTCAAAATCAAAAAAGATTAAAAAAAAAATCCAATTTTCCTGATATGAATTTTGTGAAATCTAATCAAATTAATTTCAAGATTATACAATTAAATTATTTAATCATCCCTAATTGAGACCCTTTAAGAGGGTAACAAAACAGCTCTAGTTGATAAAAGCTTTTCCTTATAAAGAATTACATACAACTAATGAATGCAGAATAACATAATTACAGAATAACAGAATTAGAAAACTGCCATATTGCCAAGCCTAATAAAATACTGACTCAGGCAACCTTAGAAGTATGTTGATGGGAAATTAGAAATTCCAAGGCTGCCAAAATATCACCCATGCAGATTAAGCAGGTGTTTCCTCATGAGTTACAATATATGTACCCAGCATCACTATGAATATTCTTGCCAAAAATGTTTAACTGAATCCAACTGAGCTTTTAGATCTTACTTCCAGTTAAAAGGAATTACTGGAAATAGAGAATAAGGTAAACAATATCAAAGAAAAGCAATCAGACAAATCCCAAAAGTAAGCTATTGTTCAACACTAGGCTTCTTAACAGGGACTCTGTTAGTAACTATAAATCTAGGTGATAGTATGGAGAAGGGAGGGAAGTTTCAACAAACTAGTCTACTTTTTTGTAATCTAATTTGAAAACTTTCATAATAAAAAGTTTAAGATTCCTACAAATATCTTTGTACTTTACCCAACACTAAGGTACCACCTTGTTCAAGAATCAATGACATATGGGGTAGTTCTATTCTGTCACATAGATGTTACTATGAGTAGAAAATCAAGCAATGGAACCTAACATAAAGAAGTCAACAAAGAATTAGAAGTTCAAATTGAAAAAGGAAGAGAAAGCCACTGAAATACTGTGGAATACTTTGATAATTCTCCCTTAACCTCTCCTCTTCCGTTTATGTATTAAAAAATAAAGATAATGGTCTTATCAATTAAGAAAAACAAAAACAATCAATGACATATACAAGTAAGCAGGTATGTTTCTTGTTCATTCTTGTTTGAGGACTTACTACAAAGCATGTAATGAAGAATGGTTCATTAAATCAATTCTCCTCTATACCTACCCTTTCCTCTATTTTTAAAAAACAAAAGCAAGCCTTGCACTGCAGGTTCACAAAATGTAGGAAAAACAGGTAACAAGAAGGCAAGAGACACCAACTGAAATATGTCTGTTGTCTAATTCAATTCAGACTCTTCAAGTTTTTTTAACTACAGTCTTGGCAGTATTGTCAGAATGTTACATAGTTCTAAGAATGGCAGATCTGATTTCTCAGTTTTAAGAACACTGTGTATTAGGAAAGATGTGTTATTTTGTTACCTTGACTAACTTATGAGTCAAATGTACTTGTCTTCGAGTTACACTAATATAATCTATTAAAATATGACAAAGATAGGTACCAAATAGCACCACACTGAACTAAGTATCAGTTCCAAGCTAAATACAATTTTTTACTAACTTTTCTTTAGGTTTTCCTTCTCCCCATTTTTCCTCTTCTCTTTTCCAAGTATACTTTCAAAGTGCTTCAATAAAGTTAAATGAGTTAACAGAGCCCTTGAAAAGTAACTTCATCTACAACTTTAATTCATAGTTAAAAAAATAAAAGAGGAAACACTCTTAAGAATTATTAAGTGCTAGTAACTGACCTCAGGTTTACCTTGTTTAAAACTTAAGTGGATTCAGAATACAGCTTGGAAGCATAGCAGCAAAATTATTTATGTCCTGAGGGGAAAAAATGAGAATATTTTCTTTTAAGATTATGAAATATTTCCTCAAATTAATAAAAATAAATTCTAAAAATGCAATGTAAAAGTATAATCATCTCCAAATTAAGGTGGACTTATTCCTTCCATTAACTTTATAATGGGAAATCATTTTACTATTATAAAGTCAGAGAGATACATTAGAAATGAGAAGGCAAAGCTTTTTAACATCTCCATTTCTTCCAGAATATCTTTTTTTATTTACTTGAACAATTCATTCACAATACAAAAGTATGTCAAACTTTGGGACTATCATATATGATGAGAAAAAAAGGAAGACAAGTACATTTCAAAAGAAGACCATCATCTATCTAGTATCAGCTAAAGTGACATACAAAGGAAATAAAATGCATCAGTTCAGATTTTTCTATGAATTCTATGTATAAAAATAAACATCAACAAGAATAGATCAGTTTGTCAGTCCCTGAAATGGTTTACTCTACCTTCTATTATATCAACAGCTTTTAAAAACTGATAAAAGTTTATTCTTTTTATTTTCCATAAGATATACGAACAGCATCTTGCACATAAACCAAACCCACTGCCACACAGTTGATTCCAACTCACAGCAACCATTAGGACCTGGTAGAGCTACCCCATAGTGTTTTCAAGGCTGTAACAATTACCGAGGACCTCTGGTGGCGTGGTGCCTAAGGCATCTGTTAACCACAAGGCTGGCGGTTCACACCCACCAGCCACTCCTTGGAAGGAAAGTGGGGCAATCTACTTCCGTAGTGAAACTATCTCAGAAACCCAAGGAAGGGTTGCTATGATCCAACTTAAGGCAGTGGGTTTGTTTTTTGGCTAATCTTTACAGAAGCAGACTGCCACAACTTTTTCCCATGGAGAGGCTAGTGGATTTGAATGCTGACCTTTCGGTTAACAAGGAAGCCCTTAGCCACTGTATCACCAGGGCTCCTAAGTAAACACTCAATGAATAAGTGAATAATAGTCTCCAGTTCCTCCTTTTTTTCTGTTTACTTTTAAAAGTTAATGATTTTTCTGTTTACCTTTAAAAGTTAGTGATAAGGAAGTTGTTGGCTACCATTTATCCAAACCAAACACAGCTTGCCATTTTTTTTACAAAGCTTTTAGGGTATATCAGATGAGTTCAATGCACAGATTTCTCTGGTATGGGTTGTAAATTTACACAATGTAAGCTTTATACAATGCCTACTAGAGTTGCAAATAAGGAGCTCTGGTGGTATAGTGGAAAGGCATTTGGCTGCTAACCGAAAGGTCAGTGGTTCAAACCAACCAGCTGCTCCACGGAAGAAAATAAGGTAATCTGCTTCCGTAATCATTTACAGCCTTAGAAACCCAATGGGGTAACAATGATGCAGAATCGACTCAATGGCAGTGAGAGTTTGCATAAGATGTGCACTAAAACCACTTTAATGATGAAAAATGATGTGTGTATATCACCATTTCCAATATATACATTTACTTTTCTAGAAATCAGAAAACAAAGTTCTCTTCTTACTCATGTTTAATGATTGTCACAAACAACTTTTTCAGTTCTTTTACATTTTCTGCTCATCAACTTGTCATCTAGACTTCAGAGCACAAGCTCTGGTTCATGATTCCTAACTGTACCACTTACTAGGGAGCTCTAGTAGCATAGTGGCTAAGACACTTGCCTGCTAACCAGACGGCTGGCGGTTCAAACCCACCAGCCACTCCTCCGAAGGAAGGTTGGGCAATCCTACTTCCGTAGTGATACTGCCTCGGAAACCCAAGGAGGAGTCAAACTCGACGGCACATAACAACAACAACCACCACCATTTACTAGCTGTGTGAGCTTGGGCAACTAAATCAAAAACCAAACTCACTGCCATCGAGTCGATTCCAACTCATAGCAACCCGCTTTGGGTTTCCAAAGCAGTAAATCTTTATGGAAGTAGACTGCCCAGTCTTCCTTCCATGGAGTGGCTGGTGGGTTTGAAACACCAACCTTCTGGTTAGCAGTCAAATGCCTTAGGCACTACACCACCAGAGCTCCTTCTTGGGCAAACCAACGACTCTTAAATCCTTGGGTTTCTCATCTTTAAAATGGGGGAAATTTTAAGTGTCTCTCATAGAGTTACTCTGAAGATTAAATAAGAAGCACATAACAAGACTCACCACAGGAAGCTTCAATAAACAGTGGTTAATATCACCACGGGGAGCCCTTGTGGCACAGTTAATCACCCAATTACTAGCTGAAAGGTTAGTGGTTTGAAAGGTTAGTGGTTTGAATTCACCCAAAAGCCTGGCAATCTGCTTCTATAAGGTCACAGCCTTGAAAACCCAATATAGCAGTTCTACTCTACATACATAGGGTCACCATGAGTCAGAACTGATATGACAGAAACTAACAATACCACTATTAGGACTTTCTCAGTATCACTTCTGGCAGTACTCCTCAAGTTTATAATTACAGAGGGGTGGGAAACTGATCAAGCCAATCCATATGTGCTCAACTCTCCATTTTCTCCTCTGTCGGCAATCTAAGACTTAATCCAGATTTCATTTTATTTTTAGAAGAATTCTGCAGTTTAAGTCTTTCTGTCTCTACTTCTTACATCACAGGTTAAACTTTAAAACAAAACAGGAAACGTAGACGTTTTCCTATACACAAAGTAGTTTTAGTTGAGTATTTCAACCGTTTGATTGATTTTTTTTTATTATTATTATTATTTTTAAGGTTTTTTTTTGTTGTTGTTCTCAGTTCTTTTTTTTTTTCTTTTTAATTGTGATTTGGGTGAAAATTTACAAAGCAAATTCACTTTCCATACAGCAGTTCACATACACTTTGTCTCATGACATTGATTACAGTTTACCACAATGCAACAGCTCCCCTCCCACTTCCTCCAGATAGTTACCTCTTCCCTATGTCCATCCCTGCATGCACTCCTGCCCCCTCAGCTGTCTTCCTGTGCATAAGCAGCTTTTCTTTCTCCCATGATTGTTCTCTCCAAGGAGTGTATTTATGTCAGGTAAATGTTCAACTCATATGCCTGTCTTTTGTTTGGCTGGAAGCCATAGGTGTGGGTTTAATTCCAGACCTGAAGGGCAGCTAGGGGCCCTAGTCTCAGTGGTTCCACCAGGCTTTATCGGAACAGCAAACCTGGTCCACTTAAAGGTTTGTTTACATTCAACGTTATGTGTACTTTTAGTTTCACTCCCCATTTACCATGCGTGCTGAACCCTAACCCAGTCTCCTCCCCTCCCTGCCCAATAACCCTCCCCCTGTGTCCCTCACAGTTAGGCACTCCTGCTTGTCTTGCATTTCCTCTATGTCAATGTTGCCCCTCTGGGGTCCTGTGGTCTATTGCTCTAAGGGATGTATTTCCATAGAGTATGTGGGTGTGTCACCCTGGGTTGAGTGGTCTGCATGTACATCTTATTAACTATTGGGCTGACAGCCAGCAAGAGTTTGATTTATTTCACTTGTAGTCATTTTTCTATGTTTAAACCAACTAAGTCTACCCTTTACTTTTATTTCATAAAAGGAAATTTTTATGAAAGCTACTATTCAAGTACACTATTCACGCGTGCTTAGCCAGAGGAAAATATAGAAAGCGCAGGGAACTGTGAGAAGCAAAAGAGAATAAAAATGCAGCAAAGAACCTGACAATAAAAGTCAAGAAGTAAGACATTTGGAACCAGTATTTAATAAAGTGCTTTGATTAAAGCTAGAGCTAAGAAACTGATTTAGCTACAGAGGATGAGTGTTAGATGAGGGTGTAGGTGGAACTCTTAAATGGTTAGTCTTTTTGGAAGACAATTTAGCACTGCAATCTTTTCTAAATTTTAAATACACATTTAAAATTTGAATTTACCCCTCTGACCCAGCAATTCCACTTCAGGGACTTAAACCATGGATCACTTTAGTCTTACTCAAAAATCTCAGTGGGGGGGGGGACCTGTAACTCAAAAATCTGCATATTTCTTATATAGTAGACATTTGTTGTTGTTGTTGTTGTTGTTATGTGCCGTCGAGTCGGCCCCGACTCATAGCGACCCCTCCTTGGGTTTCCGAGGCAGTATCACTACGGAAGTAGGATTGCCCAAGTAGACATTTAGCAGCATTTAATTAAAGTGAAACAGGTTAAATACATTAGTGAACCATACGTGGAACACTTATTTTCGTTACTTGCTGTCAAAGCAATTCCAATTCACGGACCCCTTGCGGGCAGAGCAAAACTGTCTTCCAAGATGCCTTGGGGGAGTCCCAACTACCAACCTCTCAAGCAGTAGTTGAGCACTTAACCATTTACGGTATGCACAGACCACTACTCAGCCATTAAAAAGAATAAGGTAGACTTTTATATGTTGATGTGTATTAATTTACAAATTGTATTATTAAGGGAAAGAAACATTATGTGAAATAATGATATAATTTAGGCTTTTTCTTTTAAGAGTGCATTTATGTACAGAAAATTCCTAAACTAAAAAAAAAAAATCTTAAAACTGGTAAATTTTGGGGAACAGAAACATGTAGGACTCAGGGAATTTTGATGGTTTATTTTACATTTTTTCTGTGCTCTTTGAATTATTTTACCAAGTGTGTATTTTTAGGAAAAAAAAAAAAAGATTCTAGCCCAAAAATGAGACCTCTGATCATAAGAATTCAATTTAGAATTATGCTAAGTTTTGGTGAAATGGAACAGATTGTAGGGAAAAATTGGGTGTAAAACGAGGATTCCAAAAAACAAAACAAAAAAAAACAAACTCACTCCATCGATTTGCATCTGACTCACAGCAACCCCTCCTTGGGTTTCCAAAGGGGTGTCACTACAGAAGTAGATTGCCCAACCTTCCTTCCAGGGAGTGGCTGGTGGATTTGAACTACCAGCTTTCTGCTTAGCTGTCAAATGCCTTAGGCACTACGCCACCAGAGCTTCCAAAACTAAGATTATTCAACTATTTAATAAAAACTTCTGGATATGTTTTGGCATCTAGCAAATGCCTGAT